ACTGCAACCGCTCTGGATCATCGCACCGTCGCACAAAACCTGATGCCTCAGGTTACTGCTTTTACCACTCGCGTTTCGGTACTAAAGCACGTAAGTGCGTACAGCCATGTAGCTACTCCGCTATAGATGATTCGCCACGCCGGGCTGTAATGGCTACGAACGTCGGCAAAGCCCAAAGTCGTCTCATCTACATTAGGGATTATGACTCCGATACCCAGTTCTTAGTTGATACCGGGGCGGAAGTCAGCGTCATTCCCCCTATGCCAGGTGAGCCTACCGCTTCTCTGTCGACAAGCCTCAGTGCCGCCAATGGCACGCCAATAGCCACCTATGGTCATCGGTCACTTACCCTGGACCTAGGTCTTCGGCGCACGTTCCGCTGGGTATTCACTGTCGCTGCAGTCCCCTTTGCCATCATCGGCATTGACTTTCTCAGGCATTTCGACCTCTTGGTCGATGCGAAACGCCAGATGATAGTCGACACTGCAACAAAACTCAGCGTACGTGGCATCACCGCCGATGTGACATCTATATCCCCGGTCTATGCATTTCCCCAGACCTCGTCAGCCTACGCTAATCTCCTTTCTCAGTATCCCAAGCTCGTTCAGCCAATGAACGCAGCTTTGCCCGTGGCAGCTCAAGTCACGCACCACATACGGACGAATGGCCCACCTGTGTCATGCCGTCCACGCCGACTATCGCCTGAGAAACTAAAGGTAGCTAGGGCGGAGTTTGAGCACATGCTTGAACTTGGAATAATCCGCCCTTCCGACAGCCCTTGGTCCTCGCCCCTGCAGATGGTCCCCAAGAAATCTGGTGACTGGCGCCCTTGCGGTGATTACCGCGCACTCAATCGCCTAACCGTCCCAGATAGGTATCCCATCCCACACATGCAGGACCTTACCGCATGCCTCACAGGTAAGACGATCTTCAGCAAGATCGATCTGGTTCGCGCCTATCACCAGATACCTGTGGAAGACAATGACATTCCTAAAACAGCCGTAATCACTCCTTTCGGTTTGTTTGAATTTTTAAGAATGCCATTTGGACTGTGCAACGCCGCACAAACCTTCCAACGCTTCATCCACGATGTCACTCGTGGCCTTGACTTCGCATATTCCTACCTCGATGATATCTTAGTAGCCAGTTCATCGGAACAAGAGCACCTCGAGCATCTTCGAGCTCTCTTCCAGCGCTTGACCCAACACGGTGTCACAGTCAACCCGACTAAGTGCGAACTCGGCAAATCAACGGTAGAATTCCTAGGCCACCTCGTTTCATCGTCTGGTATCGAAGTCCTTCCTGATAAGATCCAGGCAATCAAGGACTTCCCAGCTCCGACTTCCTTCAAGCACCTCCGTCGATTTTGTGGTTTGGTCAACTACTATCGACGCTTCATTCCGCGCTGCGCTCAGCTCATGCAGCCACTGACTGACCTACTCAGAGGAAATGAACGTAAGTTCGCTTTCCCTGACACAGCACAGGCAGCCTTCGCCGAGCTCAAGGATGCTATCTCCAACATAGCCCTCCTCGCTCATTCCGAATCGACTGCACCTCTTTCTATTACGACTGATGCCTCAGACGTCGCGGTAGGAGCCGTCCTCCAACAACACGTTGGTGGGCAATGGCAACCCCTTGGGTTCTTCTCCAAGCGCCTGCAGCCAGCGGAATCCCGCTACAGCACGTTTGGCAGAGAACTGCTGGCCATTTACCTAGCGATACGTCACTTCCGGCACACACTTGAAGGCCGCGCTTTCACGGTCTACACTGACCACAAGCCCCTTATCTTTGCCTTCAACTCTGCTAGCGACAAATACTCACCACGGGAAACAAGACACCTAGACTTTGTCACGCAGTTCACTGCTGACATACGTCATGTCTCAGGTGTCGACAATCCCGTCGCCGACGCTCTCTCACGCGTCAACCTCACTCTGCAGTCTTTGCCTACCGTCGACCTTGCCGCAATGGCATCGGCTCAGGCTCAAGACGAAGACATACAGCGCACTCTGCAGTCCACTTCGCTGCATGTGCAACCTGTTCCTCTCCAAACCACGGAAGGAACCATCCTCTGTGACACTTCCACAGGTTGTCCTAGACCTCTCGTGCCCGTCTCCTTCAGACGCACAGTCTTTGACGCACTACACTCGCTGTCACATCCTGGTATCCGTGCATCTTTGAAACTGGTCACCGAACGTTTCGTTTGGCCACGCGTAAACAAAGATGTTCGTACCTGGGCTCGCGCCTGCCTTCAATGCCAGCGCTCTAAAGTACATCGTCACACCCGCAGTCCTCTTGGTTCATTTCCTGCCCCAGACTCTCGGTTCTCGCATGTACACTTAGACCTGGTAGGCCCATTGCCTCCGTCGCGCGGATTCGTATACATTCTTACATGTGTCGACCGCTTCACCAGATGGCCAGAAGCCATTCCGGTAACAGACTGCACAGCTGAGACTGTTATCCGGGCCTTCTTGGATCGATGGGTCTCGCACTACGGATGCCCATCCACCATCACAACTGACCGAGGAACGCCTTTCGAATCTTCACAATTCGATACGTTCTGCAACTTCTTAGGTTGTCGCCGCATCCATACCACAGCGTATCACCCAGCAGCCAACGGGTTAGTTGAACGTTTCCATAGACAGCTTAAAGCCTCGCTCTGCGCCTCCTCCGACCCTAGCTGGAGCGAAAACATTTCGCTCGTACTCTTAGGCATTCGCAGCAGCATCAAAGCTGACTTGCAATGTGCACCAGCAGAGCTGGTTTACGGCACGACGCTCAAGTTACCAGGAGAATTCGTTTCACCTCCCGCATCGTCGGGTATGCCTCCGCCTAACTTTGCGTCCTCGCTGGCTCAACGCATGCGTTCACTACGCCCGACCCCGCCCCGTGAACAGACTAGAGATGTGCAAATGCACAGCGGACTCTCTACCTGCACTCACGTCTTCCTCCGCACCGACGCAGTGCGGCGCCCTCTCCAGCCTCCCTACACTGGCCCTTTCAGAGTTCTGCAACGGACTCCGAAACATTTTACTATAGACCAGAATGGTCATCGAACAACGGTGTCCATCGACCGACTCAAAGTGGCTTTCTTTGACGAGCCACTTGCAGCCCATCCTGATGCTCTCGCACAAGCACCCGCACCTGTGGTGACTTCCCGAGCACTGGATAACCCGGATCCCTCCGTACCCCTTGACCCGCAACCTATCCCGCCGCAACCCCAGGCAACCGACCGACGCGGTAGACAGGTCAAACGTCCGGTCCGTTTTTCCGATTTTGTAAGCGTTTGCTATTTCCATTAACACGCCTTTTTCGTCTTTAATGGTTATCCTGCGTCTCACCCACAAACGTTTTGCAAAATCGACAAAAAACCCAAAACATTTTGAAAGACCTAAAAAGCGTATTTGCTTTTATCATACATGCCATGTTCCCTCTCCGGCGTCAAGCCACTTCCCAGACCCTTGCCAACCCCCTCTGAGTTTTACCTTCCAGAAGCTCAACCGCCGGAAATACCCGGGCAACCCTCGAGTGACTCGCCAACCGGCTCAACGCAACCCTGGAGTGACTCGCCAGCCGTCCTCACCCAAGGAACAGACAGTCGCCCTCGATCGCAGACACCCACGAACGAATTGGTCCCCAAACGCTGCTTAGGCATTGCCGACGAGGACGCCGGATTTCTTCGTGGGACGAGGACGCCCGCATTCCTTCGTGGGACGAGCACGCCTGGATTTCTTCGTGGGACGAAGACCGTGGACTAAAGTGCGGTGGGGGAGTGACACCTCCCAAGCGCACCGTCGGGTCTGCAGCAATGGGAAGGTCCGGTCGGCCTTTTTTCTGGACTAGCCAGTTTTTTTTGCAGTCCGACCAGCCCGCCCCGACGGCCCACCGATGATGCACTCTGGTCCACACGATCGTCATAAATAAAACTAACAAAAGCCTGGACCCAGCGAAATCTGCTACACCCCACTTTGGAAGCCCTTCTCAAGCCCCTGCAAACATTCGCATCCACCCTCACCTTCCGTTCCCCCCACTAACAGCTCCATCGAAGGCTTCCATCCTTCAGCCTTCTAGGGGGAGGCCCTTGTAGTGCAACTGAAAACATGCTCTTTCAGTATCTTATAACATTGGATTTTATGGTTGTTTTAACCTTCGAAACGTCCATTTGTTTAACTGACTGCACATCCATGGTCACAAACCGTTTTGGTGAGTTCCTCGCTGCACGTTTCTCGCTCTGTCTGATTCGCTTCCTATTCTTGTAGCCTGCACAATATACGTTGGGTTCAGTTGCCTCCGACTTCTATACTGTCGTATTTGGCACGTCTTACGTGTCGTTGCTTACCGACTAGTATCCCAGGCTCCGCCCAACAAGCTCACGAGAAGCATGGCTTCGACTTGCCTAAACCAAACGCGTGCGTTTGATACTTCGAAGTAAGGTAAACAACCTGCGACCAAATTTTAAGGTAAATTTGCACAAAATGCTTGTTTGATTATGATGAAGAAAAAATAACTTGCTGAAAAATTAGGTCACCAATTACTGTAATGGACCGTTACATAAACTTGTGTGTCGAAGCAAAATGCATGCTTGGACAAAACCTTTAGTTGAATAACGATTAGGCACCGTTACGTTATAAGCCTACAGCTGTTACCGAATGTCAGATACCGACTGGCGATTTGAGGATTACATCGGACCACTAGAATGATTTTGCGCCAGCACATGCACAACCGTAGCTAACAAAAGCAGCGCGACTCGAGCGTGTAGAGAATGTGTATACAAAAATAGTGAATTAACATATTTGCACCATATACTTCACAACGAAAATGATAAACTTGAAGATATATAAACTACATTCAAATTCACTGCAGCCCCAATCCGGGCATTGTTGGTTACGGCGTGTGATAAGCATCAATCTTGTAAGTACTTATACGAAGCGCGAATCTTTCTGATTCTCGTTCAGCTTCCAAGCAACTTTTTAATGAAAAAATAGTCGCCAGAAATGTTGATTGTTTAGCTAGGTTTATGTTCGGCTTGTTTCATATACACGATAATGCCTAACCTTGGCAGAGCGTCGAATATGGAAGAGTTGAGACGAAATCGAGTCCTGGAAAATTTGGAGCAACTTAAAAGCCTGACATGTAACAAGTTTGCAATTTATCACTTTTTTCAGCCATTGTACCTGAAAAGGAAGAAATTATTAAGCGAAGCTACGGAATTGTCGTAAGTTTGTGTACTAAATTGCCGATTTCTCTTGATGGTTTTAATACTATTTTCTTAAGCATGCTTTCACAAGAGTTCCTATTTGTGGATCTTATTACTATATGTCCTCGCTCCTTTTCAGTTCCGTTTTGGCTTACATTTATTCCAAATCTACTTATAAACGGTAGTTGAAAACATTGTCACACAGATCAGACTTCCTCAATTTTCGTGTCATACAAAAGCGTGTTAGATCCCGAGATAAAACGTAACTTTGGGTATACAGTTTTCTCTTCCTGTGCACCGGTCCAAATGCGGTTATATAAATAACTGTATAATCTATCCTCATTCTTCATCTATTTGGAGCTACAAAGATAGCTGCTTCGGTGTAGGACAGGTGAGTGTCCAGAGACAAGACAATCATTCGCTTAAAAAGCGTCCTCTTCCTTGTGCGAGTAAAAAAAACAGCGCTTCCAGCACTTAGACTTGATACTCGGTGCTTGCGTTTATGATAGATGAATGGAGTACGAGCAAAACAACCACAACATTTCCACGATGCCGCATAAGCTACTTGCACGTGCTTTGAGGCTGACAACATTCCACGCAGAAATTATGTGAAGAACGCAAACTAATTTTTGTCTAGGCATTGCTTGCAATTCTGAACCATTTGACCTTCCAATAATTAAGGGGAAGTTTATTCCGGCTAGATACTACCATATATGAGAAGAACTTAGCGCTTATGTCAAGCCTGCATTTTTGCCGTTTTTTTATCAGAGAACGACCCCGAAATTAGACTGACGTAACTAATTCAGAGAGATCAGTGGGCCTGGAACTCATGAGCCCCGTCATTAGTTTTAATGTCTTTTTTAGGTCTCTTAATCTGCGTCTTCGCATTAAAAACAATTGTGGGTTAACTAACAGATCTTCATACGGTGACCCACACCGACCTTAAACCATTTGAAGTCCAGTCTATTTACATTCTCAATGCAATTTATGTCGGCCGGTGGCCGCGTGGTCTGCATATCTGGCTTGCAATCATAAGGTCGTCGTTTCAAATCCGCGTAGGGACGGTCGTCCTCGCGGTATACTCAGCCCACGCTCGATTGGTGATGGTCGCCGGACAGCGAAACGCCGTTACGGCGTCCAGCTGACCATTTTTTCATTTTCTTCATTTATGCAGGTAGGGTGCTCAGGCCTGAACGCAGTATTCTAAATGTGCTCTAACCACTGCTTCTCACAAAAGGAGGAAGATCTATGGCTTGGTAAAACTCTGCGCTTTCCTGACTCTAAATAACTTTTGTTGTACTTTGTCAGCAGTTCACTTGCGTTACGCTGACGGCTTGAATTTATTCGTCACAATAGTGTCAAGAACCCCGGCCACGGTAACACGTTGCAGTGTCAGAGACCCAACGCGTGCATGCAAAACAACATCGTCATCACTCGACGTCGAGATTTCGCATTTGCCGACGTTTGAAAGTAAATCCAATGAGTGTGATCATTTTATCACAGCAGACAAAGATTTTTAGCGGGTGTAGCCCTTTCGCCTTTGCTAACAAGCATGGAATCATTGGCAAAAGTAGAGGAGGGTTTCACAACTGAAGAGGTCAAGTTAATTATAAACGTAATAAGCGGTAACGGACCAAGTACTGAACGCTAAGGGACTCCACTATGAGCAGTTCCTTTGATCGAATTACCATCAACTACCCTAACACGAGGTGCGCTACCCTGGAGGAACGTGTACATCCAAGTAAGCAGCTGCAAGTGGGGTCATTTGTTCCAACAGCAGGCGATGATTTATTGAATCAAATGTTTTGCTACAGTTAAGATAACGTACTTCTAACAGAATTCTTTCTTTAAGACACCTAGCTATTTCATCAGGGAAATAGCAGATTAGTAAGGCCTGACTTTTACCCGACAAAGCCTTGTTGCTCCGCTTCGATCAACTTGTGGAAAGTCAGATGCTCACAGAGCCTCTCTTTGATAAGTTTCGCCAAACACTTTTAAAGTACAATAGTCAGATTAAGCGGCCTATAATTACTGGGCAATGATTTAAAACCTTCGTGGATGAGAACTGCTACTGTCTCATTCTTATCCTGCGGTATCCTTTCCTCACAAAGAATGCCATTGTACAGTACAAGGACTAGAAACTAAAGTATATCGGCAATGGGCTTAACAATGGCTGTATGCAGATTCTCAGCGCCAAGGGATTTGTAGGGATTTAGGTTTTTCGGGACAAGGAGAAACTCCGGTGCCGTTAGTACGAATTCCTCCATTTCCCCGCGCTTTCGTAATGTGACTAAGAAGAGAGTGAACACCCACTGACTATCCGATGAACATTATGAAATTCACGCGACAACTTCTGTGCCTTACCTAGGTCTTCTGTCTCCTAAACACCATCTTCCGTGAGTAAGTTACAAACAACTTTCCTTAAGGAGCACTTGGACTGCACGTAGCTGTAGTAGCGTTTTGGATTCGCCTTTACACTGTGCGTCAACCTATGCTCGTACGAGAATTGAGTCTGTCTCTGTTATTTAACTCTGATGTTGCGTCACTTATTGTAACCTAAATATCTACGGAATTCTCCTTAGCGGAAAGAGTATTCAATGCGACAGCTGCCTATTGTGGTATCGCAATGTTCACGGTTGGACGAGAAGCTCATTTATGCACATTCACTTTATCCTGAATTTTAGTGGATTTGTCTCCATTTTGTGTGCCTGGAGGACACTTGCTGACGTTTGCTTTTTGGAGAACTTTTGGTTCAGCCTCGTCATGTCACTGAGAGGCAGTGTTTCTGAGGTGAACAACCTACATGGGCTCAATATGGAGGCAAAGAAGATCCAAGAACGAGGATCTCTCATCAAGGCATTGCGCGCAAATGTTAACGATTTACGTCCATATCTCGAACGGTATGTACGTAATACTAAAATTGCCATTGACAGAAGGTTGAAGGCGCCTACTTAAAACCGTGAATACATAAATAAATATGTTATTATCGAATGCATCGCGGCACACTAATTAAGACGTGATCAACGTGTTATCAGCAAATGTGTAGCCCAAAAAGCACGTTTCGTTACGTGCAATGAAAGGGTGGTTGAAATGCATAGCATCTACAGAAATTGGAAAAGTACCAGTGAGAATAAAATTGTTCGTGCTGTGACGACAGACTGGGTTCATATGTGTGTACTGTAGGGATCTAACATAGGAGCGTTAAAAGCGAAGTGTTGACGTAATATGCAGACATGGAACTATTTTGTAGTGTACGTCTAATAATAGTGAAATGTGCCTCTGGTCAAATTGCCCAATGTGAATTTGTGGGCTGTGCACCTATTCATTAGGTGGGAGTTGGGTTACGCCCTTTTTCTAGCTAGTCGCCAAGACACATACCAACCCGCATGAGACAGTAAACTGATCATGTGTTAGACCCGCAGCCTTTCTGGTGTATATTTACTCGAAGGCTTTGGCTAAGGACCCGAGTTGTTCTCCTGTCAAGTGTGGGCGTCCTGCCAGTATCCTAGTCCAAACCCCATCCTCTTTGTAGGTTAATAATAAAAAATAATGTGTCAGCTGTACGCCGTAAGGGAGCTTCGCTGCCGCGCGACCACCACCAGTCGCGCGAGGACGTTCACCACTACGCGGATTCGACTCGGGGACATTACGGTTGTAAAGTAGGCGCTCCTACTACTCGGCCACCGGCCGGTAGTCTCCTTCCCTTGAAACTTAGCCATGGGAGACAACAGATCTACGGGTTACAACCTCACTTCTCGCTTGGCGTAGAACACGAGCACCACGTATTATCTCTGACGGTGAGAGAGCATCTCCTTGTGCTCAAAGGTTTGCTACTGCCCGCCTCAAGTTAGGCAGCCTCTACACAAATTGGTACAAACCCGTCTTGCCGTGGGCGCAGTTGTGTATCCAAATACGGTCGCAAATACATATGAATAATCCTAGCTCTTCAAAGACTGTGCCGAACCTCAAGCAGATCCCATTGGGTCTCTACAACCATACTCCCGAGCTGGATCTTCTCCCCACTGTGTTGTGAGTCAGGAACTTGAGCGAAAGGCTCCGGGTGGTGTTCCTAAAACAATCCCCTAAGGTACAATCACCGCGAAGCTTGTGGATACATACCAATGCAATCGTATACCTGCGTGCAAAGCACTCAACATCGGGTGCTGAAACGTGCACACACTACTGCAACGGAATTCGAGTGAGGACCCCAAGCGGCCCACTGCACTGGTCGCGATGGAACTTACGCGCTACAGCTAAGTGTTACGCACCATCTTACAAACGCGGCGTAACATTAGCAGTCTGACCATTTTTGATAAGCCACTTAATGTATGCCGCACCGTTGGGGATCTGGGACTGAGATACTCATGCTCGCTCAACTTCTCCGAACAAGTGGCTTACGTCACTGCAAAACCAGACAGAGGATTGGAATGTTATTTAAAACATTCATATTAAAAGTATCTATACTCTGCGTTTATTCAATACTTTCTTTTCCCCTAATGGAATACTGCTCAATAGTTTACAGTAGTGGAAACAAGCGAGACCGCGTTGTAATAGCAAAATGTAGAGCAAACATTCGCGAAGCGCTTATTAGGTATACTATCGAAATTAGCATATTTCGAACAATTGTAGAGGAACTCCAACTTAATCCTTTCTGGTTGAGGAGTATAAGCACAATCCAATCACCCTTAACGTCCTGCACAAGAAATGCATGCTTCCAACCTTGCCATAGCAATAACATGCCACCATTATAAAACGCATGCGTGAATGCACGAGGCGGACAACTGCATCTAGAGTGGACCTCGAACTGCGTTAAGCAAATTGAAGGGGTCCATTCGAGCGAGTTTGGGACAGCATCCTTTCAAGAATGATCTTTTTCGGAACCTTTAAGACAGCCGATGTACAAACGATAGGTCGATATTTGTGGGATGGTTTTCGACACTGGTCTGATACTGACACTTCTCTAGCAGTCGGCGATTTTGTGTTGCTGCGTACACATTGTGTATGCAGACGAAAGAGGC